CGCACCCCGCAGGAGGCGCACTCCTGATTGGTGGCTGGGGCGCCTTCTCCCCTTCGCGTCCCCGCCCGGCCGCAGAGCCTCCCTGCGGAACCGGCTCCCTGCGCTGGCGTCTTCCGAGAAGCCTGCACCCCAACAAATAAAAGAGGCGGGGGCATTGGGNNNAAAAGAGGCGGGGGCATTGGGCTGAGTGCTGCGGAGAGCAGGGCCAGGGTTAGGTGGAGACGCCAAGTGTGTGTCCCTGAAGCCTGGGGCCGCTAGCAAGCAGCACCCCTACCTCACCCCCCCCCCTTTATTTTTTACAAAGTGATTACTTAGCCTCAGGGGAGAGTAGTAGTTTACGGACAAATCCAGCTAGTCCAAACGCAAATACAGTATTCTTAATCTACTTTTCTTTATACATATCTTTTAAAACATGGTTCTACATATATATATATATATATATATATATTTTTTTTTAATATGCCGTGATGTGTTTTCCAAACATAAAAAGTTCTCATCGGAAGTTTTAAGTGAATTCTGACATCGATGTGATGCGTTTGATTTTTTTTTTCTCTTTGTCCCATGAATCCATCGGACCACTCCTCTCAGCTCATTTCAGACGCAGAGAAGCAGGATGAGTTTGTGGCTTTTTATTATTGTTCCGGATAAGATTGTTAGTTGTTGTTACCGAACAAAAGAAAGTGATGATAGGCTTCTGTGGTCTTCCTCAGAGCAGCAGGCAAAGGCTAAGGGAACTGTTAAGGTTATTCTAGCTTGATTTAGGGAACTCAGCCAAGTAGGAAGGTAAATATTTGGGGGAGTAAACCTTCATTTTAAAGAAAGTGTGCTCTGGCTTCTTTTTTAAAAATCAAGTTTCACTTAAGGGAAAAGGCAAACTTATTGAACAAGATCTCATTTAGTTGGTGATAACCATACAGCAGAGTTGATGGGAAAAAAATTTACTTGCCAAACCTCAACTTGTCAAAATTATGGTAATCTTGATGCTTAAATCAACCTTGGGTTTTTAACAATGATTGAACTTGCTTATGCTGATTTGTTTGTTGTGGGTTTGAGATTTATTAGTTCTTTATAACTCTTATTAACAAAGAATAGGTTAAATTCTAGATTTTCCAATGTAACTTTATGAGATTAATAAATCTAACTGTATACAAATATCAGAAGCAAAAAACAGATTAAAAAGTTTAGAAATAACTCGTACCATATTTCTCTTAGTTATGGTGAAAGACTTATAGGGCCTTCATAGCTAGTCCTTTTAGGTTATGTTCATAAGCTGCTCAAGTCTGTATTCCTGTGTAAGAGATTTATGCTGACAGAAATGGTGGAGGTTTTCATGTATGGTCCAACTATATTTGAAACTATTAGTTTACAAGGTAAAATATGTCACATGTTTATTTCCTGTACTCTTTGATGATTTTGTTATTGAAGAGAGTGAGATTTATGCCTACCCTTTAAGTGTAACAGAAGACATTCTAAATATATTTGTAAGTGTATTTTGTATTAAGGGATGTTTATATTTTTAAACATTCTTTGTAAACATTTATAGTTACCTAAAAATGTATTCTTTATAGCACATAGGATGCTATGAGAACTCACTATAAACTAAAACTTACTACAAGCTAAAACAAGAAAACTGAACATGAAACTTCTCAGAATTAGCAACCTTATAAAATACACAAGTATTACTTTAAAAATGTATATGTGCTACATTTTGAACATTTTCAAGTAAGAATTTATTATTATCATGTTTTTAATCTCAGTTTCAGAGAATAATGTTTATGAGATCTTTGTACTTTCTTGTCTATTTGATTTTGATATATTTTGAATTTTTCCTTAAAAAACCTCATCAAATTCTGCATTGTAAAATATGCATCATCTTAAAAAGATTTTAATGATATCTCCAATATTGTTGCTGTTTTCCAGGAAAACTACAACTGACAACCTAAAACCATTTAGAGAAAAGGCATTTTGATTTTTCCAAAGAACTTCCAAGTATTTTCAAGCACTGGGTAGCTAATGGATATTCTGAACATTTAAAAAATTCACATTTAAATAAAATGATTTTATATTCTTTAAACAAAATCATTGAGCTGATGTAAGATAGCCTATAACTATTAATACAGTGATCTTTCATGAATTAGAAGTTTTCTTAGAGAATAAAATTACTTATAGAACAAAACACAGTTTTGAGTGACATTGATTAATTGTTGGTAGTCCTAAATCCAGAATGTAATCCTGCCACTCATATTGAGGATATTATCAAAATGTACAGTCCTTTCCATAGGTCATATCATGCCACTTAACACATTAAATTTTAAAAAGTACTTAAAGATTAACCTGTTGTCAATCTTGACCCTATTCCTGAGCTTTTAAATATATTTCTCTTGACAATTTTAACTGAAAATATACAAACTTCCATTTTACAATGTCTTACAAGGAAAAAGTCATTATACCTGTCACAAATTCTGTTATAAATAGCACCATATATGTAATATAGCTTTAATTCCATGGAATAAGAAATAAGCTAATTTTTAATTAGTGTTCCAGAATATTATGAATAAGTTATATGGTTTAATGATAATGAATTAAGTTTATTAATGGGTTCTCAACATATTTGAGTTCATTCAGATTTATTGAGGTATCTCAATTGCAAACCACTATTCTAGGCACCACAGGCTCTATGAAGAGTATTACGCATTAAGTAGTATGTGTTAAGTTGTATTCTGGGATGATTATGTTCATTTTCAATGTGTTGAAGAAGTATTCACATATTTTGACATGTTTGCAGGTGTCTTGTCACTCTCAGAACGTTTTCATATGTATTCATTTTGAAAAGTATGAAAAAATTCTGGGGTTTTCCTTTGGGTATACAGGAACTCAAGAAAATTAGGTAGGTATTTGAAACATAATATATGGCCTTTAGTGCTAATTATTATCATCTAATATAACATTATTATTCATGTCATTCCCTTACACATTTCTGTATCTCCTAGAAATGTAATTTTAAAGGTTTCTCCACTCAAACTCATTTATGTAGCACATTTAGGATTGTTAAGAAGACTAAAGATACCAATTGCTGAATTAGTGCTAATGAAAAATTGTCATTGTTAGAGTAATATTCTTAAGTAAGGTCAGGGGTGAGGATGGATTAAGGTGATATCTTAATATATCTTCAAACTTTCCTACTTTATAGACTTGTTCACACAGTCAGTATCTATTCTTCCAAGTTTCTTTTAAACTATTATGCATTCAGTATCAGAGACTATCTTGTGTCTCACTTTTCTGAATGCACGGTGTCATGGTGTCATATGTTCTTTGCTATACTTGTTTTTCATTCCAGCAAAACTTTACAACTTGCGAATTTTCAGAACACATTATTCAAGTAAGGGAAATAACTTATAATTAAATTATTTATGTTTGACATAAAAAAATGTAAGCAGTATTTTAAGGCAAATGTTGTCAAGTGATACCTATTACTGCAACAGACCTTGTTAATTCATCAAATACTGAGGTATTTGATGAATTAGCTAAAATTCAAATAGTGACATAATATCTTATCTTCACTTCTAAGATCTGTACTAAAATTTTCTAGGTTATTGATGACTGCAATTACATTTTTATTGCGAATACAGATAAGTGACAGCCTTGAGTACCACCTAATCCAAATTCTTCATATGGTTGTATTCTAGGTCAAATTCGTCTGCTGGAGTAGTTTGTTTAGTGTGCACCATGTTTCAAAAGTTCAGAAATAACAGAAGTAAAACCAATAACTTCAAAGTACAGTAACTCCTTACTTAAGTTGTCCACAGGTTCTTGGAAACTGTGACTTCAAGCGAAATAGTGTATAACATAACCAATATTACACACTTCTAAATCAACACTCAAAATACTTGTCATATTGAACATTGGAATAACTGTGACCTATGCAGACATTTAAGAAAGATTAATAAAACCACGTAAGATCATTATTTTTCAACCCTCTTATTCCAGTTCAAGGTGCTGGGTGGCCAGTGCCTCTCCTGGCAGCTCAGTGCACAAAGCAGGAACCCACATGGACAGGATGCCCCCCCATCTCAGGGCCACTCACACCCACACCCACACCCACACCCGCACCCACACCCACCTAGACTGGGACGACGCAGACACGGGAAATCGCCTAATGTGCCCTTCTTTGGGATGTGGGAGGAGACCGGAGTACCTGGAGGAA